AATTCAAATGGCTAAAAGACACTTAAGGATATGCTCAACCTCCTTAGCGATCAGGGAAATGCAAATCAAAACAACTTTGAGGTTGTTTCTCTTTTTATTTAACATATATAATATATATTCTGATTTTTAAAACTTTTACATTTGCTATCTCTTTCTGGTCAAAATTATTTAAATATTCATGCTAAAGACATGACCACTGATTTGGCTAACAAAACACCTGCTTTCAAGTGACAAATATACATGGTAGCAGATACAGAAAATCACACGTAGATTTTCTGAGAGTGATAATTGCAGAAGGAAGATGAAGACATTACAGTAACAAGGACAGAGTGACAAAGGGGAGGGGTTTATGAAGGAGACCCCAGCTACGTAAAAACAGGTGAGTGATTTCAAATAAGAGTGGGTTGTATTGCTATGGAAATAACAGAGGTAGTAAATGTAATTCAACCTTTATAAATATATTTAACATTTTTCTTGGATGTCATGAGGGAAGTTAAATTTAATGGGAAAAACTATTATAATGGAGGGATTTGGGTTTCTTTATGATAATACTCTAGATAGTTTGAAAATGGAATGATTGAATGAGAGGATATCTAATTCACATCTGGACAGAAGAATTTAACAAAAAGTCAGTCTCAGCATTACATTATATGACTAGAGAGAAGCAGCCTAAGGTTGTCAGACAACCAACCTTAACATCAAGTAACCTTACAGAAATTGACAGATGCAAAAGGTTCTGTTACAGCTAACTGGACTCCTGTGCCATTGTTAGATTTAAAGAGATTCAAGGAAGAAACAGTCTCATATGGCATGCCTTTACCTATTGTGAAGCATATATTAAACTCGTGTTTGGTTTGTAATAGAATTATTCCTAACGACTGGAAAGATTTAGTTAATGGAGTTTTAGAGAATGGTACACAATTACAATGCAGTAATTCATTCAAAGAAAAAACTAAGATTATTGAACAAAGGACTAAACCACAGGTAGGGAAAACTCCCAAGATCAAATTCTTGGAGAAGGAGACTATGCTGTTATAGAAAGGCAAGCTGTGTATGATGACCACACCCTGGATTTATGCTGAGTAGCACCTTTGAATGTTTGGGACAGAACTGAAGAAATACAAAAGAAAATTTAATCATCTACTAAAGTTATGCAGGACCCAAAAGAAGCCTTTACAGATTTTTTACAAAGATTGACTTCAGCAGAAAATAGAAGGATACCAAATTCCGAAGCTAGGCAAGTAGTAATTGAATCTCTGACTTTTGGGAATGCCAGTTCTCTTTGCAAAAGGATAATTAGGCTGCTAAAGGCAAGGCCAGCACCTTTGGAGAAATATATGCAAGATACAATTAATATAGAATCTCATAAATATGATGGACAGGAGAGGTGATTGCCAGAGGTTTGGGAAAAAATTGGAATATCAACTGTTATAATTGTGGCAAACAAAGTCAATTTAGAAAGGATTATAGACAGAGCATTCCTAGGCAGAATTTTTTTCTAACAATAATCTATTCACAACACCCCTCCCTTCTGGATTATGCAGAAAATATGGCAAAGGTAGGCATTGGACTAACGAATGTAGGTCAACCAGAAATACTCATGGTAGTCGTTGCCATCAGGAGACTCTGTAAGGGGCCTCTTGCAGGCCCCTATGCCAAATATAGTTAAGTAATTTCCTGACATTGTAAAAGAACTCCTTCCCAGAGAAATTAAAGAACTAAATGCCTACTATAAGAAATGATACTGCTGTGGATAATAGAACAGCTATAGAAGAGAGAACAAAAATTTGAGGAGAAATCATAAGTGATTATTTTGGCAAATATTTATAAATGACTAAAGACCAAGATTAAATATATGAATAATTATCTTGATATTTAAGGTCTGGTAGACACAGGTGGAGATGTAACAATACTCTATCAGAATCTTGGCAGCAAAATTGACTTCTTCAGGACAGAAATGTCCAGTTTTTAGGGATTGGAATTATGTCTCAGGTAAAGAAGAGCATGAGATGAGTTGACTGTATAGGGCTAGAAGGACAAAGAGAAACATTAAAACCATCTGTCACTAGCATAGCAATGAATTTATGGGGAAGTGGTTTGTTACAACAATGGGTTGCTCAGATTGGGGGCGGGGTGTGGAATATGATCACCAGCTGCCCAAGTACCAAAAAATTATGCTTCAAAAAATCTTGATGTTGATTCCACATGCAGCACAATCAAGTTGCCCTATGTGTGCCACTCATGACAGAAGCCATTTTATAGGAATACTTAGATTAACATTCCCCAATCTTAGAAATTAATCATAGATTAACATGTGTTTTTTTGGGAAAAAATATTAGAAGGTTATATAAAGAGCAGTCACCAACCATTCAGAATGTACAAAAACAGGGTGCAAGCTGGTGATATTTCAAAGACTTCAAGAGCTCTCCCTAATTTTAAAATGGTTAACAGACAAATCAGTATTTGTTAAGCAATAGACTTTAGCAATAAAGAAACAGCAGGAACAACAAGATGCTTAACATACTGAAAAATTCCAGTCCTTGGAATTCTCCTGTATTTGTTGTTAAAAACATCTGGGAAGTGGAGACAGATAACAGATTCAAGAACTGTTAATAAGGTGATTCAGTCAATGGACTCTCTACAATCTGGCATTCATTTGTTTTCTTTATTGCCTAAAGGATGACATTTTATAGTTACTGATTTAAAAGATTGTTTCTTCAGTATACCTTTACAACAAAAAGACATAAAAATTTGCCTTCAGGGAGTTTACATATAATAATTCTAAGCTTACTAAAAGATATCAATGGAAGATTCTCACACAGGAAATGTTAAATAGTCCCACCTTGTGCCAATATTTTGTAAGTAAGCCATTGAAAATGATATGTGAGCACATTCTTGAATCTACAGTTTATCATTACATGAATGAAATTTTGCTATCTGATTCAAATATAGATACTTTAGAAAGAATGTTTGAAGAAGTAGAGAAAATTTTGCCTTGTTGAGGATTACAAATTGCTACTGAAAAATGCAAATAGGTTATAAAATGGGTTATAGAAAATTAGAACTCAGAAGGTAAAAATTAGGAGAAATCGACTGCAGACTCTTAATGACTTCCAAAGATTACTAGGAGACATTTCCTAGTTATGGCTCACTATTGGTATAAAACCTGATGAGTTGATTAATTTACAAGACCATATATGGTGACAAAGATTTAAATAATTTCAAAGAATTATCAGTAGAAGCTGAGAAAGAATTGATATTGATTGAAGAAAAATTACAGAAGACACATGTAGATCATGTGGATCTGAATCTTAGCAGCATTCTGGTCATATTACCCTTCAAATATTTCTCTAAAGGCATTTTAATGAAGAGAAGATATTATCTTAAAAGTAATCTTTTTACCAAATAAACTGAGTAAAAAATTTATGTGGAAAATGTCTCTAAGTTCATTCTAACAGGAAAATTGAAACTTCATCAATTCGCAGGAATAGACCCAGCAGAAATTATAGTATCATTCACTAATGATGAAATTAACAAATTTGGGAAGAAAGTGAAGCCTGACCAAGAGCTTGTAGTAATTTTGGGGGGAGATATTAACAACTATCCCCAAAGTGAGAGAATTCAATTTATAACAAGAGCTAATTTTATTCTTTTATCACATTGTTTGAGACACACCAATAACTGGAGCCCCTACATTCGATACTGGTGCGGGAGAATTGTCTGTATTCTATCAAT